CAGGAATGCATTAGACAGTAAAATATATTGTGCTTTCAATTAAACATTTGATGATACAAATGCACACCAGTCCACAAGTAAGCCTGAGGATTGACAACAAGGAGCTTATGGAGGGATAAACTAGCCCCAAAACCACACAAAGATTTCATCTCAGAGAAAATAGTCAGCTTTCTCCAGAGAAGAGCCTGGGAACAAGCTAGCATGTATGCGGTGCTGATTATCAGGGATCAGGATGGTGATTCTGATCAGTTGGTTCCTCGGTTCCTGCATTAGTGAACTGGTTCAGTGCTTTAAGAGACACTTAAGAGAATCAGTAACTCCTCAAAGGCCTAAAATCAGTACGTAAAACCAGGTCTATCACTGGCATTGAGTATGAAGGTAGAACTCAAGTCAGAGTCACAAAGATTGAGATATAAAATGAGCTTCAGTTAGGAATGGATATAAAAACAACAAGAAAAAGACACTGTGAATACAATTATTTGAAAGCCCAGTAAAGTCTATTATTTAATAATCATGGAGATCAAAGTATAGATTGTGCAGAGAAAGCTGAATAATTCAGTGGCTTTTCACTGTCTGCTGAAAAAAATTGCTTTTCATAGAATTCATAAAATGAATTTTAATTAATTTAATTGAAAAAAGAATTAGTTAGAGGCTTTAGATACAACATGAAGATCCAGTGTAATTTACCCAAAGAATGAACCAAAGCAGTCTCTAAATGATTAGCAGTTTCCTATGAGTACTTTGGGAAAGATGCAGCCTTTGAGGAAGGGAGAGATGCTAACAGAAAACATATCTTCATAAAAGGCGAATAGGAGAGGAACCAGAGTATAAGAAGTCAGTTGAAAAAAGTTTGATTGCAAGAAACATATGAAATAATTTTTTAAAAATTTAATTCTAAGTACCAGCGATATGAATGACAAAGTAAGAAACACAAGATGGCATAATTTTGTTAAGAACCAGTCATGGAATAAATCAGATTTCTGTCTTTGGAAGGTTAATTTTCTTGGGAAAGACTGAAATAGTCATGTTATATACCTTGGCTTCAATAAAACTTTGAGACTGTCCTCATAATATTTTTATAAGCAAGCAAAAAATGCTCTTGAAGTAATTGCCATACAGTTAATGCTTATCCAAAAAATATGGATATGAGTGTCTATCAGCAGATTACTGTCAAACTTGGAAAGAGAGATCTCTCCCATGCCCGGTTCTTGTCAGTGATTTAATTTGATTAGGATAAGTAGATATAAACTCTTCAATCGGACTGGGAAAGATTGCTAGCTTTTTGAACAGAAAATAAAAATTTAAAATTCAGAGACAGTCTGAAGTCAACAAGATTAAACTCAAGACAGATGAGAATAAAGTGCTTAATAAGAGCAAACAAAATCCATGAGTAGAATAGGTCTGGAAGGCATAGTGCACTGTAAACTAAATGTAAGTAAAAAATCTGATACCACTGTTGAACAGACAGTTTCTAAATGGTAGAACTTACTAACAGGAGAATTATTGCCTTTTGCTCTCTTGAAATACTCTTTTCTTTGGAGAGAACATTTTTAAAGGAAGATGTAGCAAGCAGGAGTGAGTGAGTCCAGAGAATTAAGGCCATTTTAACATTTTCAAAAACCCAGCATATATCATACCTTCATTCAGAATTCAGCATACACAGCTATGACTCTACATTATGTTTGCAGTTAGGCTGGATTTGCTGCACCTACAGAGCAGACGAACTGTATGGCACAAACACAGTAGGCTTGCTCTCATACCTGGTGAGCCCTTGCAGCTGGCTGTTAGGACCCTTTCACACTGAGGGTTTGGGGGCCTGTACCATAAAGTGACATTGCAGCTAAAATAAGAACATTAGAAAAGAGGAGAGACTGGGGAAATTACACTTGTGTAGTCCAGCAGAAAGACCATCAGGTGACATGGTAATAGCCTGCCTATCTGTAAAATGTTGTCACAAGGAGAAGGATGAAAAGTCAGGCCATGCAGGGATGTGGTGGTTGTTTTTAAGGCTTGTTACTTTTAAGAGCAGATGACTCTGTCTAAGTACAGTTTACCTTTGTGCAGAGGATGGACTTCACACCTTACAAAGTTATGTCCTTAGGTTGTGTTAGGTGGCTATGTCTCGCCCTAGAAAACTTCTCAGTGTGCCTTCAAAGGTGGTGATGCTACCCTGTAAATGGTGTACTCCTGATTACACTTATGGTTAAGTGCATTCAGCAGTGCTTCTCTTGAGCTGGTATTTGACATCCGTTGCTACCAACTGACAGTTTTTCTAATATGCTACAAAAGTGCTTACATTTTATTTTTCTTCTTCAAGATGGAAATAATTGAAACAGACTGAACAAAAACAGTAACAAATTTTGAATGTGTCTGATTTTATAGTATGCCCAGGACTATTTTTGCTTCAGCAATTGCAGAAAGAAGAAATGAGCATTGGTAATTGAAGAGTCCGTTTGTGAGTGAAGCTGATGATAACCAGTTCAATCCGTTTTTACAGGGAATCTTTAAATATAAGTTTAATGGCAGCACTTGGAAATCGGAGATACGTTGCAGTACAGTGTAACCCTATTGGTTGGGCTTTAAATGGGTTAGCTTTAGTATTAGTAGCAATTTAGCTGTGGCACCACAGAGTTGCACTAATTTTTACTGTTTAAAGGCAGGACAAAATACTATATATGTTGCTCGTGTTTCTGTAGCTGGATGAGTTCCAGCAGCTGAGCTAGCTTATTGAAGTTAGCTTTGGCATCTCCACAATTCATGCTAAGTTCACAGAAGAGTCAAAGCCTAGGAGAAAGCAGAAGGAAAACAATTGAAGATAATCAGGTGAGAATAGTCTGTGAGACTTTCCAATAGCGATAGGTTGTTGCTGGTATGCTACAAAAACAATATATTATTAATATTTTAAGGTGCAATTTACTGTGTTCTGGAGTTATGCTGTTGTCATGATTTAAGCAACTTCATTGAAATTGCAACAAAGAATTACATTGTGAGGTTGGACAGACAGGGGTATTTAACATTTAAAAACTATATTGGAAACCCTGATTTTTCTTTAGAGTTTTCATTAAAAAATAGCTTCAACCAATATATATGTAATCAGTTATGTAGGTAACAATATAAACTTTAGAAGCAATGAGAACCCATCAGAATTGGTAGTGTTGTGTAAAACATTAACTGCAGCTGCCTTTTTTAATTTCAGATTGCACTGCCACTTGTGGGAGACATGGGTGCTATACTGAAGGTAAACATTGTCAAAGGTTAAGTATCTCTGTTTACTATAAGCATGCTTTTTAAATCAAAATATGCACTTGAAAGTTTCTGTAGGTTCAATTCTGAACTATTTGGCTAGCCTAAAATCATTTTGAGACTTTTGTTTTATTTTGTTTTTAAAAAATACTCAAGATATATATATATCAAATACTCAAGATATATATATATCAAATATATTTGATAGGAATTTTTCAAAATAACATTTGAACAGTATATGAGGTACTAGCCAGCAAGTGCCTGTTCAGTACATCCAGCCCACAGTACGAATCGCTACAAGTATACCCCATTCTCTGCTTTACTTTGTAGCATTAATATTAGTCATATCCTGAAGGGGGATAATAGTCTAGAATTTCTAAGGTATTATTTTGAAAAATAATAAAATTTGAATTGATCTGCCATATTCCAAAATGAAAAGTGTGCTCAGGAGGATTTCTATATGAAAAGCACACATCATTTCTGAGGAGAGAGATTATCCTATTCTACTGTCCTTTATTAATACATGTACTTAGGGTTTATTGGCTTTCTCATTCCCAGATCTGATTTCTTTTAGGTCTGTCTTTGGGCTTTTCCCTGATTCTTTCTGTTTGTAATTGTATTTTCTTTGTCCTGTCCGTGCTCTTCTACCTCTTTGTCTCTCTCTTAGCAATTCTTTATGCAATTCTTTATGCTTCATTCTTCATTTCTCTCTGTTTTGTGGTTACCACTTCTATAAGATTGCAATTTAGCTGGAAAATGCTTCTCTCAACAAAGCAGGAATCATTTAGTTTAAAATAACTGTAGATTTGAAGCTGGCAAGAGTAACAAGTAGCCTCCATCTCTACCTAATCCTTAAAAAGAAGATGGTCTGCTCATACCTAAACACAGGTGTGTCTGGGACTATCCAAAATTAAGGCATTTATGAGTCCTCTCAAAATGAAACTAAAAATTTATTAGGATGGTTTGAGTAGAGTGTGTGAGAGATGGGGAGGGAAACAAGGATATCCGAACAAGTATTTTGTGTAGAAGACAGAAAGGACTGAAGAGAAGGCTTTGGGGTAAAACGAAGGGGTGGTCACAACAGCAGGAAGGAAGCAGTCTGCATAGATCAGACTTTCTGCCCCTGTCACAAAATGGTTATTTATCACTTTGCTTTGTGTCGGTTCCTCAGGGCGATCCCGGCACAAGAGGTCCTCCAGGCATCCCCGGTAGAGAAGGGCCAAAGGTAAGTAAGTTTTGAAGACAGTACATTACATTGCTTTGTTGCTTGTTGAAAGTAAAAGGCCAGACTCTTACCTCTGACAGTCTTGACTTTTTTGTGTGATCCCTATGCCTGTAGCACCTGAGCAGCCTAAAGGTTCAATTTTTACGGTTCAGCCCTCTTCCTGTGTCAGTTTGCCTTTCCTCTCAGGACAGCGAGCAAAGTAGCCCAAGTTGAATCTCAGGCCAGGATAGCCCTTCTGTGTCTTGTGTCCATTAAAGCTAAATCAGATTTGACTGTCCAGTAGTGCATTGCCATCTATAGGCTTATTTTAGGTAAGTCAGTCACACAAGAATCCTGCAGTGAAGAAGGGAACTTCCCATATCTCCCTCAAGTGTGCAACAGCTGGACCACCCTGTGCCTTTGCACCTTGTTCCTGTGGAAGTAATGCAGCCATTTCACTGGGACTTGAAGTTTCATTGATGTCCATCGGACTTCTCCTTCACTGTAATTGGATCAAATGCCATAGTTTGGCATACCAATATCCCCTATAGTTGAGCATAATTCCATGAAAGTATATTTTCTCCATTTCAGCAAGCATTTAAGCTCTTTGGTATTAATAAGATGTCTCCATCAGGCCTTTTGGCTAGTTTGCCTACTAGATAAGAAACACTCATTTCCTTTCACCTCGATGGGAGGCATATTTTAAAGCTTTCAGGTAGTATTGAGCCTTTTTTTATGTTTTAGGCACTATTGCTGTAAGGGCTTCATGCTAGCAAATATTAAATGTGGGTCATAAAATGCCCTACAGAGCACGAAATTCATTGTTCTCTAATAGAAAGTATTTGTTTGAATGTTACATTTTCATAGGGAAGCAAAGGTGAACGTGGATTTCCTGGGCTTGCTGGAGAGAAGGGTGATGAGGTAAAATTACTTCATTTCTATAGTGGTTGCATTCTTATCTGAACCGGAATAAAGATCTAAAGCAAGAATGAAATGCACAGAATGTTATTCAGTTCTTTAAAAATGCTGAGATAGTAACGTATTGCCATAAATAGCCCTTGATTCTGAATTTTCAGCAAGATTAAATGCTATTATTCAATTAAATAACATCTATTTAATTTTTGTCTGAGGGTTTTTGCTCATTTGTATATTTTGAAGCCTCACATACATTTAAATGCTAATTTTTAAAAGTATAGGATAGAGCAATAAATAGGCAAATGCTGAATATTTTCAGAAAATACTTCATGTTTTATAACATATTTGCTTTCATTGTGTTAGTTCCCCTTTAGAATTCATTTTCAAAAACATTCTATTAGGCAAATACTATTATGGGAACAGTCATAGCAGCAATTATTAGTTAGTGGAAACTGGAAAATGTTTGAAGAGACTGAATTTAAAATATTTACAGTATTTTGCATCATATACTGCATTCTTAGAGTTATTTTTATGTCATTATGGGGAAGGAAAAAAGCCACATGACTTGTGGTGCTGAATCCGAAATAGCTGCTATAGCTTTCATTTTAAATGGAAATATTTCCAGTTAACAGTTCAAGAGCGATTTCTGTCCAAAAAGAAAATCACCAAAGCAGAAGCTATTAAGCAAATGAATCTGAGTAAATAAATGAGTTTCCTAGTGACCTTAGCCAACTGAAGGAGTTAAAATAAGTAGTGTGTTACGAAGTATTTGGTGAACACTTTGAAATTCCAAAATACTTAACTGGCACTGTTAAATACATACTACTCTTGTAATTTGGGAGTGCTGGCTACAAAAGAAAGCACCTGGAAAATGTGAAAGAAATTTAGAGCTTATCATTTGAGGGTTTTGTAATTCTTTATGAGCATTTTACACTTCTTTGGTGCTAAGGCCATAACATATTAAGAATTTTCAAACAGTAGTAGAATGAGAATAATTTTCAAAAAAAGCTGTGTTCCTCAGTATCCTTGGCTTCCAAAAGTAAACAGTTATATGAGGGGAAAAAAAAAGATGCAGCAGAAGCATTAGATATGTATTCCTGCTATGGCTTTGCCCCAGAATTTAGCAGGTTGTCAGACTGAAGTATCATCCTTATTTTTCCTCTTGTTTTCACACAATCTATAGAGCTCATTATGTCTTTGCTTCTTAAAATCAAGTGCCTCCTGAGGTTGGATTTAGAACATATACCTTAAAATGATGGGGCAGCCATAAGAAAAGCCCAAGCAGAATTTTACTTAAAAAATAAATAGGAAAGTAACACATCCTTTGTGTGCTCTATAGGGTACCTCTACAATTCAACCCTAGCAGTCTAAGGCATTAGCAAAACAGTTTCAACAATTCAGATACTATTTGACTGCTGAGAATCAAGTGAGATATTAGAGGCAATTAAAAAGGTAATAAAGGAAAGGCCAGATTATAACTGGCAGTTAGGTTTTTTTTAAAGGACTCCAGAGTAAATTCATTCTATATTTTTTTTATTTATTCAGTAGAGTGCTGTGCTGTGTTAGTAAGTTAGCTATTCAAATGCTTCTTCGCTGTTTGATAGCTGGTTAGCTGCCTTAGCTCTTATATTTTCAGTGTTTAGCAGCAGCTTTTGATTATGACATGAGAGTGCAAGTGAGTTTATTTTCAGAAACACGTATGAAAGAGTTAACAAAGTTTAAGAGTAACTTTTTTTACAAATTTACACATTTTAAAAGAATGCATTTATTTTCATTTTTATGATTTGGTTAGCATGGGAATGGGAAGAGAGATTGAGAAGCCCACTCAAATACACTCATTAATTTCCACGTGCTTTTGAACAGCCCTTTAATCTTTGTTGAAGCTTAGTTCTCTTCTTTTTTAAAACATTCCTTTTTTCAGGGGAGGGTTTTTCTAACATCAGTAATAAGAATTACAAAAACCAGTCCTTTGGCTTCATATTCATTTTTCCGGGTGACTGTACCGTCAGAGTAAAGTAACTCAAAATGAGCAGAGAACACATTAGCAGTTGGATTGACACTCTGAAAAGCTGCAGAAGTGGATCAATGTCCTCTGTGTGGAGGAGCAAGAAGGGGAAATCAATGTCTCTCTCCATCTCCACATCTTTCCTGATTTATTTCTGTCTGAAGTTTTTCCCTCAGTCTCTCCCTCAGAGCCCCTGTTTCAGGGCTCCTGACCTCTGTGGTTTTGTAGACTAGCCCCTTAACTATGCCTTCTTAAACACTGCATTTAACATGAGAAAGATGCCTTTTCTGAGGTGATTCCTCTTGTCAGAGGATAGGCACCCTGTGCAGGCAAAATTAATCACTTCTAGGAGGGACCTATTTCCCTCCGTGGATTATAGGGGGAATGGAGAGTGATTAGCTCTCATTAGTACATGACTTTTACATGTCTAAAATTGCACCTAAGCCTGGTGTGGCAGAGGAAAGACTTCAGTGACATGCAGGCTTGTCTCAAATTCTACCTGCATCCACTGTAGTAAGTTGCACACCTGTATGTTTAGTAAGTGGATACCAGAATCTGTCAGTTTCCAGGCAATCAAATAGAGTAAGAGCAGGAAAGTAGGTCATTAAATACTATGAAAAATGTCATGTTCCGTTATTAAAAAAACAAAATCTATAAATCAGGCAGAAAGCATCATTGCATTAAGGTAGCATAAGGTAACATTGAGAAGTCTGAGTAGATGTCTTCTCACCAGCAAAAAAACCTTTTAGTGACAGAAAATAGAAAATTAAGGAAAAGCCACATGTCATGCTCTTATCTGCATAACTAAAGACAAAAAGATATACAGGCCATAAGCTAACAATGTGAAAGGTTGCAGGACAAGTCTTGCTTATCAGTCAAGCAAACAGTTGCCTCTGACCTTGTTCAATGATAATCTCTTCCCTGCATGGTGGGTTGGTTTTTTTTTTCATTCCTAAAGATAATGCCAACTTTTCAGATGAACATGCCCTTTAATATAGTTATAATACTGCTGGACATGCTGAATATAAGTAGCTTTTGAGGTAAAAGTGGGAGAGGAAATAGACATATGCTCTTTTAATTTCCAGGGCCTTCAAGGTGCTCCTGGACTGCCAGGCATACCAGGACCCAGTGGACCATCTGTAAGTGTGTGGTATCACCCGTGATCTCATCTGTCTCTGCAGAGGTTGCTATAACTGTCTAGTAAGACTTAATATTCTTAGTTTCTTGTCCTTTCTTTTGGCTTTTAGGAGAGTAATAATAAAATCTTACCCATAGTGGCTCTAATAAAAGAAACTATGTTGTGAGTTGATGTTACTGAAAATACTGTCATTGTCTCGGCTCAAAGTTTATGTAACTTAAATGAGTTTGGAGTTTTGGCATTACTAGAGACTCTGTGAGGTTACATGACTTATGATGTGCAAACTTGCAGTTAATTATGTATTTGTACCCAAGTGACAGTAATAATGTTAGTAATAAAAATCTAAAAATAATTCCAGCTAGACATTCTGAAAACATTTAATGCTGAAACCAAGTAATCACTTGGTTTCACAATAAAAAAAGTATGCGAATAAGCTGACAATACTTAAAGTCACTAAAAAATATCATTAAAAAATGTTGGTAATTGGAAATTTTTTTAAGTTCTGTTTTATACATGCTGGATGGGATCATATTAGTATGATCATTATTCATTCCTAGGTTGCTGACAGTACTAATGCTTCCCTTCTTTCTAAAATTGTAATACATTTAGGAAGTTTAATGTGATGTGGAATGTGTAAATTGGCATTTTAGCAGTAAAGCATGATTCTTAGCAGTATCAAGAAGTGCCAGTTAAGGTCAGTGCATTTAGTCTGCCAAGGTGAAAATGCAACCGCAAACACAAGTTTTACCCTTCAAAGAGCTTATCAGAAGGACATATCTGTCGTATCAAACAGAAGAGAAATATTTAAACCTGGAGGAGAAGCATAATTAGGTTTAAATGACCTTCAAAAAGTACAAGTTTTAAAAACTAAGCTGCAATGCAAAAATACTGTGTTTCATAGTTTCTTAACTAATATAAACCAATACTGTGTTGTGCAGGGAGTCACAGGAAGACCTGGGCATCCCGGTCCAGCAGGGTCAAAAGGCGAAAAGGTATTCCTTCTTTTTAGTCTTGGTAAAGATCTGTGAAGGTTTTGCAATCCCATTACGCTCCTATGTTTTGGGTTCTTTTTAACATCGGGTGCAAACAAGAACTCGACGTACATTTTCAAATTAATTTTTACTTGTGTCTTAATACAACTATTTCCCCAAACAATGCCATACATATGGGCTTATATTTTGAAGCGTAGTCCTTGTGGTATATGTAAGTTGCAGAGAATGTTCTCTAAGTATGACATATTATATAAAATTTAGGAAAGTGAAAATACATTTGTGAAATAGTATATGACTAGTTACTACTTGCTCTGCTTCTCCTTCTTTTACCAGTATTTCAGTCAAAAGTAATTGCATACTTTAAAAGTGCTTCAGAAGTACTGAAAGTTATTGAGTATAAGTTATTCTGCAAAAATATATAAGCTTCCTTTATACTTAATTTACACTGTTATAGCACTGCTTTTTATTAGTGTTTTATGTGCTCTTTTATCAGGCACTCGATATTATCCGTGATAACTAAGAGGTCAAATTCATTTCTTGGGCACCTCAGATCAGTGAAATACAGCAGACACAAGCTTAGTTTGCTGCAAAATACTTTCTGGGAGAAGTTCTCCATTTTGTGTATGAATACACTTCTCTGAAGTTTTTTTTGTCTTTAGCCTGGAGTTTTCCAGGCAAAGCACTGCCACATCAATGTATGTGATCCTACTAACACTCTACAAAACCTTGACTCTGGTATGAGTAAGAAAGGAAACTATTTTGTAAAGGTCTGAAATTATTTCAGTGTAAAAATTGATTGAGAGCTGTCTTCTTGCAGACCATAACACCAAAAATTTCCCACACTTATTTCCTTTTTGTGTAACCAAAAGCAAAACACAAGTCCTTGTTAGTTCCTTGTTTACAGTTCACACGCAGGTGGGAATGAGAAGCCGCTAGTCTATAACTAGTGTCCCATCGATCAAAAAGGGCAAAAGTCAGATGGCTGAAGAGTGATCAAGTAAACTGAAATACAGCCAGAGTAATTTCCTCCTTCCTTCATCTGGGGAACATGTCTGAGAAATGATCATATAATATGCTTTCTAAAGTGCAGTATTTTTATTCCCCGTGAAGTACTCCAAATCACTCTTCGGAGGCTGACAGTTTCTATCAATTAGCAGGACCATTTGGAAATTATCCTAGTATAAACATTTAATTACAATTATTTTTTTCTGGTTAGCTAATTATTGCCATTGAACACTTAGCTTGACTTTTGCCACCTTAATAATTTTAAATATGCAGCCTAAGTGTCTCGCTGACATATGTTTAATAAGATCCAACGAAGTCAGTTGGCAAAAATTCTGGCAGACTTGTTCCAAATTATATGGTGTTTTTAACTGAACCGTAGTGATGAGATTTTGAAAAGATCTTGTTTGGGAAATTGGATGTTGAAACCTTTGTAACTCTATACTGTTCAGAGACCCTACCATTCTGCTGGGGCAAAAACTCAGAAGGTTTTCTTTTTAATATAAGCAATTCAGTGCATGTCAGCAGAACATTCTACAGATACAGGTAACCACAGATGAATATTTTACAGTAAAAACCAACAAGATATTCGTTGTATCTCTTAATAAAGATCTTTATTTTTATTCAATGCGTTTCTAAATAAACTGAACTTCTGAAACTGTAGCTCTTCTTTACCTGTGAATGATCAACTGATGATTGACTTTTGCAAAATAATATACAAAGCATAAAATTAATGTTAATTTTTATCTGCCAGTTGCTTAGAAATTGTTACTAACAACTCTTTTTTTTCGTCCTCTCCCTCCTGGTATATATGAAGTGTTTCACAAACCAGGTTACCACTAGTATTTTGCCACCTAAAGCACCAAGTAACTAACAACATGAAAAACTAGTGTAAAGTTATGATTAATAACTTCCCTGAAGCTTAAGCAGGAGCTGGGCAGGAGAATTTATTCTTGATATTACCTGCTTATATTGACTGTATCTCTTGTTTATTATCATTATGGTCATCGTAGCTTGGGTATGGAATAGATCTGGACATCAATTACAGTAAATGAATTATATGAATCTCTTGCTGTACTAGGGTAGTGAAGGTTCTCCTGGGAAACCTGGACCACCTGGGCCTCCGGTGAGACATTTTGGTTTATATTTTGAATGTTATATTAGGAACGATATACCTGTGAGTAAAATGTCATGTAATATAAAGAATTGACTGTCAATCTAATGGTGCAGGGAGACAACAATGTCTTTTTGCCAAAGGTTTCCGTATTCCTTTTTTTTCTTGTGATTCATCGCTGAGCAAGTTCAGGTCACTAAAGCCATCCTAGAAACTTGGTCAAATGAGTTAACCTTGGTGTCCAATGTTATTAGAGTAACTTACACAGCTTGGGTACCTGAGATCAGGGAACTCAGGGAACCTAGGGAAAGTCCGTGAAGCTCACTGGAATTGTACCTAACACAAAATTAATTCTGGAGTATTATAATAATAATGAATATAAAAATGTAACGTACACTGAGATTTACAGGTTTCTGGTTTCGTAATTCAAAAAAAGTCCCAAGCTGCATTGGTATGTATCTTATGTTCTTACTGAAATGTCTGGAATCTTTGAAAAATTGATCGAGAACAACAATGATAGCACAGCTTTGCTGAGCTATGGGGCTTGAACAGGGCAAGAGTTCTGCCTTTATAATTCATAGTTGTGACACTTACTTGGTTTTTATGTTTTAAAGGGTATGCCTTACAATGAAAGAAATGGAATGAGCAGCTTATATAAACTCCAGGTATTTCTCTTTAATGTTAATTTTTTTTCAATCAACACCTAATTTTGGCCCAACTCAACTTTTAAACTTGCTGTTACAGGGAGGTGTGAGTGTTGCTAGTTATCCAGGTCCACCAGGACCTCCGGTAAGTATTAACAGAAACATAATTTCTCATAGTTAATTAACATAGTAACAGAGGATTTGGTTAGTTGCATGCAGTTTTGGTTAAGTGGCATGGAATTTGATTTTTAATGTGAAAGATAGAAAAAATAAGGATATGATTGGTAAGTAGTTAATGATAAAGTATGTGATTTTATGTGTTTATCAAGCATTTTAGCCCGTTTTGGAGAGTAGTTTATTTTGATTTAAGTATTTCACTCTAGCAAGTAAAGGCTGCAAAAATGGTACATTATTTGGTATTGGACTCTTTAGTGACAGTATCCTAATATCTTAAAATGTGTAATATAGTATTTATAGTTAGCGATGGCATAGTATTGTAATGGATTAAATTTGGTGCTGGAAATGAGAAGCTCATTAATTCTGATCTCAGTTCTGTCACTGGTTCACTACATGTAGCTACAGTGCAGAAAAATGTGTAAAACCAAGCATTATATTGTGGCAGTAATACAGGGCTGGTGTCTTCCACGCTGCAGAGATGCACCACCTTGCAGCTGGACACTGTTGCTTTGGTTCTGTGGAGCCAAAGATGCTGTGCACTTATTTAGGCCCTCTTTCTTGTTAGCATCACAGGGAAGTTCTACTGTTTTAAGATGAGTGTCATTTCGGTAACCACACAAAAATGTTGTACCCATCAGCGAGGACTTTGTCCTTACATTATTTCCCATTTGTAGTCACGGGCTTGCACCAGACCACAGAGCTGTCTTTGTATTCTGGAACAGCAAAACAAAAACCAAATATTACTAAGATTTTATACTAAATTAATCAGCTGAGAGGGCTGGACTTAATACTGATTCTAAATGCACTGCATTAGCAAAGTATATTCATAATGCAATACAAAAAATATCATCTTATTGTGTAACTCTGTTCTTTTTTAAATGTGTTTCCACTTCTTCGTTTCTTTGCAGGGTCCAAAAGGAGATCCTGGCACAGTGGTATGTATGTATTTTTTGGTCACAATAGAGAATTCCCCAAGTAGTTCAACACATGATCCTAGTCACAAGGGTGGAAGAGTCCATTAACGTTCTTTAGCAGGTAGCTTACCTCCTGCAGAATCAGTACATCTGAAAAAGCCTTTTTAATTGCCAGGCTTGCGAATTTTGCAGTTTCTGGTAAATTGTTCTAAGTGATAATATAATGAATGACTGAACATAGTATTAACTGCTTGTAGATTCATCTCTGCTGAGCTGTCCCTGCATATATCTAAGAATAGAAAATGTGAAATAAAGGTAGAAAATACCTTAAGAGCTATTAGATTGTTCTCAACATTAAATTTGAAAGTGATAAGGGAGGAAGGATAGTGTGCTACATCATGCTAGCTAGTAACAACTAGAAATTGATGTTTTCTTTGGAAACGACGTGATGGTTAGTTGCAGTATGATCACATTGCTTCTGGTGAGCAAGATGATGATGATCATGGGAGCCACTATACCTTTCAACTATGCAGTTTGACATTCAAAAGCAGATCTAATTAACTTTTTGATATTTTTTTCCTTTAAGCATTGTGCTATGTCCTTTTCACGTGATCTTTCTTCAAAAATTATGAGGAGAGGAAGGACAGCTAGTGAAAGAATCTTGAGCAGCTGCACAAGGCTAGCCGCCAGCAGAATGTAGATCCAAATCCTGACTGGGTGTACATTTTTCCCCAAAGTCCTTGACATGTGATGTAACTTGCCTTTATAACAGAGAACTATATTTGTCTTTAGCTTGCGATTTGTCACTACAGTGCCTTGAAGGTGCCAAAGTTGAAACTTGCAGATATTACGTCTTGATGACTGGACATCAGTGAAAATACCCAAAAGATAGTAGTAAAATTTGAGTATTGATGGTTTAGCCCAAAAAGTATGATAGTATCAAATGTCATTTTAAATGGATATTGTTTTAAAAATTAGATAGATGCTTCCATAGCAGTTAAAATTTCAATACATTTGTGTACTTTTTTTTCAAGTCTAAGGAACTTCACATAACTGCATAATGATAGTTACAGCACTATAACACTGCAAGGCAGCGAAACAGGTACTGCTCCTTCATGGTCAGTGTGGTAGAACTGTGTCCAGCAGACCAACTTCAGGCAGTATGACTGAAGCAGGATGAGTACCATGTGTCAGCTAACAGAAATTGCCAAGAAGAATTTGCTGATAAAAGCAGTAGAAGCTCAGCTAGTTAGGAAAGAAAATTGTGCCCAGTTGGACTGCATTCCCCATGATCTACTGATGGATTTTCTACTTGATAAAGATCAGGAAACCCTAAAAAATATTGGAGATCATTTTTGAAGCAAAATCACGTCCCTTCCAGCAAAGTAAAGAACAGCTATGTCTGCTACTAATGAAACAAATTACTACTTCAGAGAAATACTTACAGAGTTCCTTAGCACATTCTGGAGTTCATTCAACCACCAAGAAGCTGACACTTGACCTCTCCAGCTGCTGTCCTGTCTTCAAATTGTTAGTCTTGGGAAAAATAAATAAGGAGATGGTTCAACCAACATTTTGGATGCCTGGTAGTAAAGAATCAGGTCAGAGCACAACACACAGACTGTTTAAATGTCACTAGAGACTGGCCTTGTCTGAGCACATCAGGCCACAGTATTTGGAAGATGATGATGAGTGGCCTCTCCTGTTGGAGGGTTCTTGTCTTCTGACTTGGGTCCGTATCGTGGAGTCTTTCTCTTCACTATCAGTGTGAAACTACTGAGAAATCTCTCTACTCATGACAGCAGCATGCCAGTACTATTTAGTTGTATCTTTTTTCCTACCAGTGAAGGCGCAGTATCTACACAAAAATAGCAGCAGAATTAAGTGCAGCTAGCTCAGACTAACCCAGCCAAGACCAAAGTGGTATGAGAAGGTAACATTTTTAAGAGCTGGCTAGGACTTCATCTATCATGAAGGTGCATAATCTCCACTCAGCCGTCCTCTGCAGGGCCTAGGATCATGTTTGATTCCTTGCCAAGTGTTAATGGAGGGCCAGCTACATGAAAAATTGAACTTTGATCTATGAACCAATGTGACAACTGTGCTCCTCAAGGACAATAAGAAACCCAAACCACTGAGCACTCACAGAAAAACATGGAGCTGAGAGATATTTTCCTAGAACAGCTGATTAATCTATTTTCAATAAAAGTCACAAAGCCTCTTTTTTTGTTTCATCATAATGCCCAGAAGCTGAATACGTCTTTCTGTACCAGCATCCACTTCCTACTCAGGAAGCACCATATCTCAAACAGAGCTTAGGTGTGAAAAGTGAGATCTGCCAGAGACTTCATGAAATCCAGATGGGAATTTGCTGTGGCTTTCGATTTAACTGAGAATTGCTGAAATACTGGAATTGTTGGCTGTAGTTTAAATCTCTGTGGTAAATTATCTATTTTCTTTAAAAAAAAAAAAAGAATTAAATGGGCCTCCCCACTCTACACGTTAAACTGATTTCTCCAGTGGAGCATGTTTCTCATTTTCTTTCAAAACTTGAAGATCTACACAGGGACCTAGTCTGTGTGTCCCTTGCTGCAGGGTAAGCTTTGTTTAGGGAACAGATCACAGAATTGCTTGGAGGTTGGTTTTCTGGTTGACAGAGTATGCTTGTACCTCAGGGTTCTACCACCTGGAGGTGCTTTAGAGCTGACCTTGGCTTGCAAGAACACTGGAGGGGAGTCTTCTGGATTATATTCTTCATCAGAATTAAAACCGTTGATCCAAATATTCACACAGTGCCTCTGGGAAAAGCTTAATTCACAAATCACTAAAACAGGGCATAACAAAATCTGTTCACCTAATAACTGGTTAGCTGTTTTACTAATCTCAGGTTAAAAAATCTGCACAGAAATTCTAATGTATGCAATCCTTTTTAATTAAAAAAAAAAAAAATCAGGGAGACCCAGGACCGATGGGATTACCAGGACTGGAAGGACTCCCAGGGGAAAAGGTAGGAAGGACTCTTAAAGAAGCCATGGCTTCTTAGTGGTAACTGTCTGCAGCTAAATGTTTTCTGAAACCTTGTTTGAATTTTTTTAATGTAAGTTAATGTTTCTGTGTGAAAAGTATTTGCATATTTATCTGTATTTCCTTTTTTTGCTTTACTGTGGATCTAAATCATATATTCACCCAACTAAAATTTCATTTTCCGCAAATGGAAGATTGTGTGTAGGAGGTCTCATAATATTTTGTTTTCTTAACTTGATAGAATACTACAATATATACTATATTATATGTTCCTAAATATGGTCACTAGTTCTTGTTCTCTGTTGAACACTGTCTTATGCTTACAGTCTGTCTGTCTTGTTCTAAGACTTATGGCACAGCTACAGATCTGAAGAGAAGTTTGTACCTGAATTAGTCTAGATGTAGTGCGTGCAGGACTTCCATACAAAAAAAAAAAAAAAAAAAGACTATTTCAGATGAGTGTAAAAATATAGAAAAGAGTAGGAATAGGGGGAGAGACTGATCCTCTACAGTTCCTGTTGTATTGCATCCTGCTCCAAAGAGAGCAAAAATATCTTTTTTTGGACTGTTGCTCATTATTCTAAAAAAGGCCCCTTGTTTCTGTTTTGCTTTTCTTGCACTCCGAGCTGCGCGTATGATGCCACCGTAGCACATCCCGAGCTGTATCGTATTCTCCAGCTCCTTCCTGTAGTTCCAGTCTGCGTTCCAGTGCTAGGAAATGATCCTTTCCTTTAGCTGGTGGCATGTTTCAGCCTTTCACTTACTAGTTGTGGAGGCTAATATGAATTTAGAGAAAAGCTTGTCATGAAATGCTAAAAAAGTCAAGATTTTGGTGTTCATTTCTAAATATGGCAAAGTACAAAAAATTCAGTGGAGAAATGAAAAAAGCTGTAAATATGTTTTCTGTCAGTGAAAACAGTTTGATTTTGCCCATATCTTCTAAGTTTAAGAAGAAGAAAGACTGGGCTTTTTAAAAAATTGAATATTTATTCAGCTTTTTGAATTACATGTTATTGAATGACTTCATACAAAAAAAGTTTACTGAAACTTATTTTTCATCAAAAAGCAATGTAGATGAAAAGTTTCTCAATATCACTGTGCATTACTCCTACTTGTGCAGAGTGGGGAGCGACAAGATCTAAAGCAGGTGTCTGTACTAGATGTTTAAATTACATAAGAGGATTCTTGCTCTGGAAAACTATAGTTTACAAGCAATTAAAGACTGGTTTGATTTCAAAATGAACAAACACAGGGGGATATTACAGGTCTAGCTGAGACAAAGTGGGGACAAGAATTAAATAAAGGGAATAAGCAATGGAGCAGATCATATAAACAAGCTAAGTGAGTGTTTGGCCCTTTCCCAAAGTAAAAATATCCTTTCCTTAACTAAATTTGGTCAAAATTCCACATTTCTGGTGCAAACAAATGAACAGAATCCCAGAGTCTGCCTGCCAGTCCCAACAGTATAGTGTGTGCTGGTTTTTGATTTAGAGCTGTTAGGTACATCTGTGTAGCAGAATGCCATCTTCCACAGACAATGTTGGCTGTAATTTCATGGTAATTCCATGAACTTTTAAGAACTTTGTGTCCTCGGGGTAAAATGTCCCTTCCCTCAGCTGTGCTGACACAGTGGTTTGTGCAGCCGTGCTGCAAATCGCATTGCTGAAAGGACCAGAATAACCCTTAAAAGAAAAATAGTTGCAAGGGAAGTGTTAGGAATTTCTAGCTTCCCTGTCAGCCAACGTATAGGGAAAACACCACAAGTTCTGGGTCCAGAATAACTACAGGGACAGAGTGCAGTGCTCCAGCCCATATGCCCCGCTACAGATACTCAGTGCTCAAGTGTTCCTGAGGTGCATGTTGTGTTCCTCACTGGGGGCGAACTTGCATTAAGTGATTTCTCTTAGCCTCCAGAGCAAGAGAGGTTGAACTGTGGGCTATAAGCAAGCTTCTCCCTTCGGACACAAGGTCAGACATTTAACTGTCTACACTTTGTGTAATGGAGTTAAGTGTTTCTAATTATGAGCATTATCATTGAGCTACCCAAACAAAATGATGAGAATGAGACAAATCAACATTAAGTATAAGAACAGAAACCAGAAATCCCAACATCTCCTGGGGCTCTTCTGCCCAACAGAGCATGGCTGTAGCTATGTTGGTGGAGCTTTTGCAAAACAGCTCCAGGTAACATAAACTCATCACAAAAATATTCTCCTGTTAGTATGGCTTTAACTGTGCCAGGGCTTTTCTGACACGATTATAGAAACTAGAAGCCTGATTTTTTTCTTACATTTTTAACCAACATTATACTAGCAGAGTGTAGTGTTAGAGACCAATACATGTCAGCAGTGAGTTAGGGCAAATCTCACTGGGCAGAGTTTTACCACTGGTGAGCTCCATCTGTCTGCTTTGGGTTATAGTCCTCTCAAGAGAGAAAGATGAGTTTGTGCCCATTACTCATCAGCTCCAGCACAAAAGCCATTGTCTTAGCGTAAAGCATAGATGAAGGTGGCTGTATGCTAAAAGGAGAAACTTTGCCCTGAAAGGACCATGGCACAAGCAAATCGAGGATGCTGACTTGCAGCAAATGGATGAGTGGGTAGCAGGAAGGTGAAAGCTTCTTTGAAAGACACATCTTAAATATGGGGATGTTGATATGATAGTGAATTACCCCGTGTGAATTTTGGTCATTGTCATGACCACAAATGATAATTATTTGGAAAACTACAGATGAGTTGGGGAGTTCTGTCCCTTTTCAAGGAAGGCCTCAAGCAGAGTATAAGGGATAGCATGGAAATTGTGACATTGTACAAGAGAACCTAAACAAAGGATTTAAGTTACTTGCTCAAGTCTGTAAAATGAGCCAGTGGCAGAGCTAAATATTAGCATTTAGCAGAGCCTGGCTCTTGTCCTCATTTTCAGTTCACTGAATAATCCTTCCTCAGGTTTTAATGGGAATCCACAAACAAACTTCTGGTTTGAGTGTTACCATTTAAGTATAGATTTATCTTTTCTTCAGGGTGACCGTGGACCAGCTGGCATGCCAGGAGTAGCAGGGACACCGGTACGTATATTCATTAAAGAAAACTCAGTTGGCTAGAAGCTGAAAAAACAGGTCAAGCAAGGTGCTGAGCTGTAATCTCAATCATTGTTTGTGGAACGCCAGCACTTGGCTACTGCTTTATAGGCAACTATGAAAATGATGTGTTTTTCCTAAAGAGATTAGAGTTTTAATACCACTGAGGGTTCATATTATTATTATTAAAATGACAGGAGGGAATGGTGTGAATACATGATAAAGCTGGAATTTGAAGCTGCATATGCTTAGTTAAGAGAGCATATGAGATTCTTCTCGTTGCTTCAGTTTAATATAGATAAAGACATTTTCTGTGTTCCTGGGCATGCATAAATTTCTGAGCATCTTTCTATCACAAAAAAAAAATTATGAACGGTAGTTATTGCAATCCACAAGGATCTGCATATCAAGTCGATTGAACATTTGCTTTAGAGGAATACTTTGTCAGCTGTTTGCATGTGCTATTCAGAGAAGTTTCTGAAAGTCAGCCAGAAACTTTGTTGTAGGTGAAAGTAAATGTAACTAATCATAAATTGAAATTATAATTATTCAGTTGTGTTCCTAAAGGAAATGAAGACAACTTTTCTTTAGATTGCATTCACAGTTTAATAAAAAAGTTTATCCATATTTCAGGAGGCAATATGGAGTTATTTATATGCAAATACATTTATTATTAAATTTGGGCAGCTACCAATCTATTCAGGAGCTGTTTTTAAATTATAAGTATGTGTTTTGTGAAATAAAGAGAAGTTTGTGTCTAGGCACTCCCATTTCCATTAGCCACTGATTTAGACTATTTACTGTGAGTTCCAAGAGAGAACATCAGCTTAAATAGCTTAATTTAGTTAAGTTCTCCTAAAACAAGGTAAAATTGCACATTTGAGGGGAAAAGAGAAGTATTTCTGTGAGTTTTATATGCCATGTAAGAGTTTCAAAGTTTGTTGCTCTGAAATATATTTCATGCTGTGAATCAATAATGCAGTAGCCAGTTAGGATGCTGACAATCGTTCATTCCCTGTGTATTTCCCACTGGATATGTTCCAAGTCTTATTCTTGTTACTGCCTATCCTAGCTGGATATGAAATATTTAATGAGTTCCCTTCATCACTGATGGGTTGCGTTCTGTTGATTACATTTAATTCTAATAAAATCCACTGAAATAAATTATTTGCTTTAACATTTTATGCTGAGCAGTTTTAATTAACAAATTAATAGAGGTATGAGAGACATTTTTTAGTAGTCTATGAAGAGTTTTTGAAATATATCCACATATCTTACTGGAAGAGAATTTGTCCTCCTTACCTGGCATTATTCCCTAGATTGAATAGTGGATGCTTTTTCCCATTTGGGAATATAAACCTCTCATTTTAGCTTTGGTTTTTTGCTGAGCAGGATTATCAGGGAAGCTTGGCCTGAGATTCTGCAAGAATTGCCACCAATGCCCATCTCCTCAGCACGAATCCTCGGTCCTCTTGTTCCTGAAGTTGTCATGGACGTTGATGTGTTAGATCCCTCACTTGTACAAGTCAGCTGAGGATCTGGTCTAAGGATATTTCTGGGAAATGTAGATTCAGGTTAATAGATTCTTGTCTGGGGCTGAACCAGATAGGTTGTTAAAAGCAAGGCATCATTTTAAAAAATAAAGACATTTAAAATCACCATCTAAATGATGAGATGAGAAAGGATTATGAGTTCTGCCAGGCTGAACATTAAATGACAATAAAAGTGGCCGAAAAAGAGCATGAAGGAAATTTGCAAAAGGCGTTCCATCAGTAATAAACTCACTTTAAAAAAAATCAGAACTAGGAAGTACCTGAAGGAAAAAATCTTGATTTCCTACATACAGTGATAAACTTTGATCTGTCTATCAGTTCTCAAGAAGGAAATCATGGTGTTGTAACAGAAAATTTCATGAAAACGTTTTCTCAGTATTCAAAAAGAGTAAAGAAGACCAAGTGATTGAGTTATGTTGTACACAAGAGCCAGATTAACATGGCGCAAATATTAAAAAAATCTGGTAAAATATTTCTTTTTCCTCTCTTAAAGTATTTAATGAACAGTAACATGAATATTTCACTCAAATATATATCCTCTCTTATTTTTGACCTAAGACAAATTATATTTTGCTTCCTAGTCATTTGAATTTGTAATGTTCTCTTTTTGCAGGGAAAGCCAGGGTCTCCTGGGTCCCCAGGGATGCCAGGGGAACCTGTAAGTACAGATTTGAGTTCTAGACTCTTACCATAATACACAAATATTTCAAACACTGAATGCAGGATTTTACATGCAGATTTATACATGTGTTTTCTTCTTTCTTAGGGTGAAAGAGGACCTATAGGAGATATAGGCTTCCCCGGGCCAGAAGGGCCACAAGGAAAACCAGTAAGCAATTTTATACTGAATATATATGTTCATTACAAAAGGATGCCTCTTAGTTTATCAGAAGTTACAAAAGAAATGAGATTACATCCTGCTTTGTGTTTGGCTAGGTAACATCTGAAGAACACTTAGAGCTACAGTGCTCAATATTAACTATCCAGTCAAGAATTCCTGGTATAGTGATGTTTTAATAGTTAATGTTACTGAGATGTTGCCTTTAAAGGTCTTCTGAGGGTCCTTTGGATCCTGTTGACATAAAGGATCCTCTTGTATTTCTTCAGGAGGAGAATATTAACCCAGACACTCAACATAGTCTATAAAGGATGGGGTGACAAAATACATTCTCGGTTTCAGTTTAGATAGAGAAGCATGTGCTTCATGACTCTGAATAAACTTCGTAACTCTTCTGTATACAGGTGATGCAACACTGCAGCTGAAGCATTTACTGTTCACTTAGGATATGTCTAATCTGACCGCTTTATTTAATAAAAGTGTGACAGCAGTGTAGTCAGCACTGTCTGAGGTGGTTTAAAACAACCTAGTTTATATTCTAGAAGTGGTTCAGCTAGGATAGCGCAGAACTCGTTATCTCCCCTGAAACTTGGTGTTTTGGGAACAAGCATGAGAAGTAGTTTGTCAGCACGTCTCCACGTTACGCTTCTGTCTTGAAAGAAGAGACAATATCTGTAACTTCAGCAGCAAATTGGCCCAAGGTGCCTAATCTGTGCAAAACTCCACTTTGCAGTATGAGAGGGAAGGAAATACTCATGATGTCTTTGCTCATGCAAGTCCTTTCTCACTCAGTGAAATAGCGGTGAGTTTGCTGCATATGCAGAGCCATGTATGTCCTAGTAAATTAAACAGTGCCAGAGCATTTACCTTGCAATTGTCTGGCATTGTGCGATTGTTAACATACTCTCTGACATTATTTTGGCCCGTGCCAACTAGGACTCTCAGATAATACCACGTTCCAGTTTGGGGGATAATGTGGGCCTGGGACTGTTTCCAGGAGGTGGTATGAATGAGACCACCCTCTTTTGGGAAGCAAATATGTTTAGCCCAGGAGGCTGAAGCTGTGCCGTGCCACAAGTCCTAAGGACCAAAGAATGGATCTGGCCACTTACTATTACGGTATAATCTCTGTAACAGCAGAATAGGGCATCAGGGCTAATATCTAGAATAAGAGAAATCTCTTCTATGGTTGTATAATGACTAGCTGGGACTGGAAAAGTGCATGTCCAGGTCCATATTCCACATTTGCAGAATTACCATATAACATTTAATTTAATGTTGTATGCTTATTAAAATTGATGCACATCTTGATGCTGAAGATTTTTTTTTTTGCACTGCTCTCAGCTCAAATTTAATATGCTTGCAGTTCATTATCACCCTGAGCCCTGTTATTTCACATCTCAAGACTATTTGTGAGTATTTCTATGTTGTAACTGCACAAACTGATGCATCTGCAGCTTCAGAATATGTACTGATACCAGCACTAAACATTGAGCTTTACCCTTTATATTTTTAAAATACATATACATAAGCATATTTATTAAAAAAATTATTTTTTTTTTTAATAGGGAATCAATGGAAAAGATGGATTGCCAGGTCCTCCGGTAGGAAAACATGCTTTTGCATACCACTGTATTTTATTCTTCACAGATAGCATAGCTGTTAATCCTAGGCAGTTGCTTTCAGTTCTGCTAACAGATGAATATACAAAAAAGCCTTTAAATTGTATGCTTATCTTTTTTCAAAAACAATTTTTCAGGGTGCTGTGGGCAGACCAGGAGACAGAGGACCCAAAGGAGAACGTGTAAGTCCCTTGTTTTAATAACTCTTTTTCTTTTTACTGAGCATCTAAGCACCTCATCAGCACATATTTTACAGGCAAAACCAAGAAATGAATTCTCTGTGAACTTCAAGCAGTCTTTCAGACAACTAAGAGGTTTGGTCCTAGACCCTGCTTTAAGGAATTAGAATTGAATTGCTTCTGCATTTAGAGGAAAAACACATTTTATAGACTTTCTAGAACAGTTGGCCTGGACAGTGTAAATTGATCAATAGGTTGAAAATTAAAACGTAGCTAATCCTGTTGTGATGCTGTCAGACTTTGCAAGTGCTATAAAGCTTGCCCCATCGTCATCCCTGGGATCTTTGTATGTCACAAACACAAATCATGGAATGCCAATGCAATACCTTACTGCTTCCCAAAATGTTTAGACAGTTCTCTTTATGGTAACAAGATCGTGGTGGTCAGGAATCATTATGGGAGGTGAGAGATGATCTTTATTTTGCTAGAGCAAAGAAAATCCTAGTGCATATTCTGCTCCTGTTATAACGTTGCTAAAGCCTTGATGTCCTAATCCAATTGATACCACATTTATTTGATGAATCAGAAAAGCACCTCCATGTGTAATCTGGAAAAGGGAATGCTGCTTTATGACACTGAGGAGACATGAGGTTTTAACCATTATTACAATAGTTGTCCCTTACAAAAATTAACAATTTGCAGTGTTCTGTTCCTGCCTTTAAGGACACAAATAAAATGTAAGAACCTTCTTATTGTACCACCTACTGTGTACTGCATTACACTGCTCAGCCTTGACCTTCTCAGTGCCAACCTATCTGAATGCCTGCAGATAGTACTGTGCACATACAACCAGAAGAGGAGGCTGGACCTGTAAGTGCCTGACCTTGAAACATACTGACAGGGAGGAGGGTGTTGAAAAAGTCTGTGAGAGACAGAGACGCAGCCTTAGCTTGCTGCATCGGAGTGAAACATGGGAAGCTTCAGGGTAAGAGGAGAGGGTGTATTTATTGCAGTCTCATCAGTGAGGGTACGTACATACACACATGTACATGTAGCTATAGATGTAAATATGGATATATGCTTGCTCTCAGAGAGGTCACAGATGCCTGAATCTGCTCTCACTTCTGGGATCACTGGCAAACATGTCACGATCTAGCTCTCTCTGTACAGAGTAATACAGGTAAATATATATATAGACACACATATAAATATATAAAAAATAAAAGAAATATATGATACATGTTAAAAAATAAATCAATTTCCAGAAGTGTTTTTGTCTCAAGTGATAATGAAAATCTCTCACAACCTTTTGTAATAGGAAAGTTATAAATATGCCCAATACAGTATCTGAATACAGTTTTCAGAAAGCTGTCAGTTGTTCCTTACAATTCTGCAGGAGAAGGAGAAGGTTTGTTGAAAACAAGGGGAGGTCTGCCTAAGAAATAACAGCAAAATACACAGCAGAAGTCTGCATCTCAGATTAGAGATCAGTGGGGGAGTTGAAGTTGATTTTTTTTTTTCCCCCCTCTGGATCAGGTATTACAGACCTGCATCTGTGAGAGAGATTGCAATGATTACAGAAAATAACACAAAGTTGAGGTTTTCTTGCAGCCATTATTATTACTGCTGTACAGCATACTCCTTCAGTTTGAGACCAGCTGTTGCAATTACAGAAAAGAGAAGCACCAAAATTGGAAGGACAAAATAAAACTCTTGAGGTTTTCATGTCTAATATAAGTATATCCTTGTAGAATCTCTTTTAAGAAGGAAGAAGTCACCTGGGCTGAAATAATCTTATACATCCTTTCAGTGACTAAACACTGCTGTTATTACTACTTTATAAACTGAGTGACAAACCAGTTGAAAACATGTGGTTTATACCAGTCAGAAATACGCCTTTCAAGTCATTTCAACAACAGGTTAAAGTACTGGTGGCTGGCTCATTTATTGCTATTATCTGCATACCTTGATCACAGACCGGGAGCCTGCTGGAGTAGAGCATGTAGAAACCCAGACAAAACGATAGCTGCTTCTGCACAGAATATAGTACAAGATTAAATGCAAAGGATGGGAGAACACTAGAAAAGGGGGAGGACTGAATAAATCAGCACTGTAGGCAGAGATCGCAAAACGCAAATGTCCTACCCTGTTTTTTGTACAATGCATAGTGAAGGAGAATTTAAAGAGGAATCTGGAGGAAGATATGCGACCTAGTTTTATGAATTTTTACAAGGAGCTTCTTCCAAACACAAAGAAAACACTGGAGGCAGTTAAAAATGCTTGTTTGAAAAGTGGCTGTAGTATTTGATCTGCCTCCTACACATTGGCAGCCTGTAAAATGGGAATCGTTTAGAAGAAAAGCAATTCCAGGATCAGCTTCACACTGCCATAGCACCATGGTCTTAGAGAAGCCTGCATTTTTCTTTATTCCCAGTGGAATAGCTATCCATACCTACTCTGCAGGGTTATAAACCAGAGAAATTATATATGCATATTTATGCCTTAAATACGTTTTTAATGAAGGCTTCTTGTAAGTATAGTAATCTTCAGACAGCTTTTTTTATATATGTGGATGCATGTATGTGTGTGTGGTCTTATTTGAAAGTACTATCAGGCAAAATGGTGTGTTCAGTGGCTCCCTATACTGGACTTCAATCTCCAAAAAAATGAATAAACTAAAAATTTTATTAAAGGCCTCTTTCAATTTTTGCAATAACATGGTAGAACAGGAGTTATTCTTCAGTTTTATAATGTTTCAGGTTGCTATGAGTGAAGTAGGAGATGGAGGCTGGATGCAAAAACTTTGTTAAGGCCATGAAAGAGCCTCTTCCCTGCAGACTACAAAAGTTCTGCTTCTCAGTCAGAATCCTTGCTCTGCTCTGAATTTCTCACGGTGTTACAATACACATCCTGATACAATAGCTGTATGCTGGACGGAACACTTTTTCCTATAAATCTTAAAATTTATAGAAACCGGAAAATGTACGCCTCTTCCATCAGAACTTTTCCAGTTTCCCCAATGCACATAAGCTCCCTTTCCTGCTCCCATCGACTGTTGAAAATTTGAGAGTCTTTGACAAAGGTTACAGGTGTCTTTTGTGTATTACATCATATCTTGTCTTTTTTCTACTGAATAGCTAAATTAGCTGTGTGTTTGTTGGAAATTATTCATGTGCTGCATATTTAGAGTTTTGCCCAAAGTATTAATGCCCAGAAGCTAAAACTGGAAATCAGACGTCTGCAGTATTGCCAGGATAGGTCTTTTAAGAGAAACACAATAAACATAATCACACTGAGATTGTTTCCCTGTCACACTGACTTCTCTGACTGTGTGATCATGTCAGCAGTTTGACAGATTGTATTGGGTTTACGTGGCAAGGTTTTGGTAACGGGGGCTGCAGGGGTGGCCTCTGTGAGAAGACACCAGGAGCTGTCCCCATGTCAGACAGAGCCAATTCCAGCTGGCTCCAAGACGGACCTGCTGCTGGCCAAAGCTGAGCCCGTGAGTGACGTTGGTACTGCCTGTGTGATAGAAAGGGTAAAAAATGCTGCACAACAGCTGGGAGGAGTGAGAAAATGTGAGAGAAACAACCCTGCAGACACCAGGATTGGTGAAGAAGGAGGGCAGGAGGTGCTCCAGGTGCCGGAGCAGAGGTTCCCCTGCAGCCTGTGGAGAAGATCATGGTGAAGCAGGCTGTCCCCTTGCAGTCCACGGAGGACCACGGTGGAGCAGAGATCCACCTGCAGCCTGTGGAAGATCCCATGCTGGAGCAGGTGAATGTGCTGTGAAGGAAGCTGCAGCCCATGGAGAGCCCACACTGGAGCAGGCTCCTGGCAGGACCTGCAGCCCATGGAGAGGAGCCCACACTGGAGCAGGTTTTCAGGCAGGAACTGTGTCCCATGGGGGACCCACACTGGAGCAGTCCATTCCTGAAGAACTGCAACCTGTGGGAAGGACCAATGCTGGGAGCAGTTCATGAAGGATTGTATCCCATGGGAAGGACCCCACACTGGAGCAGGAGAAGAATGTGAGAAGGAAGGAGTAGCAGAGATGAAGTGTTAAGGACTGATTGCAACCCCCGTTCCCCACCCCTCTGCACTGCTTGGGGGGAGGAGGTAGAAGAGTGAGGAGTGAAGTTGAGCCCGGGAGGAAAGGGGTTGGGTTGAGGGGAAGGTCTCACAATCCTGCTGTTTTTAATTTGCAATAAATTAAACTAATCTTCTCCAAGTTCAGTCTGTTTTCCCCTAACGGTAATTGGCGAGTGATCTCCCTGTCCTTATCTTGACTCACAAGCTTTTCATTTCATTTCCTTTTCTCCCCCTATCTTGTTGAGGAGGGGGAGTGAAAGAGCAGCTGGGTGGGTACCTGACAGGCAGCCAAGGTCAACCCACCACAGAGGTTAAAAATATAGGTGTAAGATGATGAAGTTTCGGATTTTGATACTTGTTTTTTTTTTTCTTCTGGTAGCCTTCCAGAGTTCAGAGCCTCTGCACTCTTACTGAGGGCAATTTAAACTCCAGTTGGGAATGCATTATGGTTTCAGTTAATGCAATAAAACATCACAAGTTACAGTGGTCTTTCTAGTGAAGGTTAGTTATAGTCAGTAATAAGCTCTAACTCACTGGAAATCATACCTGTTGGAGGACAGAAAGGTGATAAAAATGTTATACAACCTCCTACTTGCATCCTTACCTTTCTTTCTTTCTTTTTCAATCTTTACATGTCATGTAAATATGACTTAAGAATATAACTACACTTTTATTGGTTTATCAGTCAATGATGTTTCAGATCTGAATACAGTTTACCAGCACTTGCTGTAGATTGAGAATGCAATTAATTCCATTCATTCACCCCTCATAAATGTAGATTCTGGATTTATCTAGTAATGATGTAGTCAATTCTTGGTGCTGTTTGCTGCTTATGCTGGAGCCTAACATTAGCTTAAGCGATGCAGCAAGGGCAGTCAGTGACCCTTAAAAACTGCCAGCTGTTCATTAAAAATCTGAACATGTGACTTGTGGCACTCTGCTCCACAGCTGTAGTTCAGTGAACTAAGAGCTAATACATTAAGTCACTCTAAAAGATTGAATTCCTCATAAATAAAACAAATTTAAATGCCACCTCAGCCATGATGGAAGCTGTTGCTGGCCAGAACATTGACCTTTAATTTATTTTGTTTGCAAGGAATTCACTTGTTATAAATGGATTTGTGTATCTGTTGTTTCTTTGCTTAACTGAAATTTTGTGTACGTGCAGAAATAAAATATTAGGCTTGGAAAGATACAGAAAAAACCCTGATGCCTTGTGCCTGGGGGAATTTGAGTACCTAAATTCTACCTGTGCCATTGTTGACATTTCTAGATCCTTGTATAGGGGCTATAAACTTTCTGCACCCAAGTTCCATCCTTGAAAAGTGGGTTATGGAGTCAAGATATTTTTTTTGTCCTTGACTTCAACATTAAAAGCTTAAGAAAACAAAATGTTACTTGCTGTGTTTTCAGAGACAAGGGTTAGCGTGTAAAATCAGCTTCCCTGCATGACTCATAAAATCTGTTTCTGAACAGGGAAGAATTTTCTCTTTAGCATTCTTGGGTGACTTTTCCTAGTTCGTTCCACTGTGTGCAATGGTTTTCCTTCTGCTTTTATTTTACACAGGGAGATCAGGGTATTCCAGGGGACAAAGGCCCACAAGGTGAACGAGGGAAACCTGGCCCATCAGGAGAAAAGGGGGATGTGGGTCCTATTGGGCCACCAGGAGACAGAGGCTATCCAGGATCACCAGGTCATCAAGGTCCCCCAGGTTCACCAGGACCCCCAGGGTTTCCAGTAAGTAAATACAAGTTTTCCTTGGTTGCTTGTGAATTCAGACAACGTGAAGGTAGCATGTGCTAAGCAGTGGAAATTCAACTGAGCTATACCACAGTGTCAGAAAAACTAAGATATCTCTGAGATAATTTCAGTGTTAAGAGGTAGAAAAAATATACCCCAGTAATCAAGCAGTTATTTTAAATTTTTTTTTTAAAAAATGTGCTATGGATAAACTTTAATTATTTCTTTAGCTCCTGAGAAATCAATACGGCTACTCAATACTGTTAAATTTCAAGTTTTTCATAAGCTTAAGAGGAGAAGTGTAAGTCTTTGCAACTGAGAAAGAAAAGGAGGCAGACAAAAATTATTCTCAATAAAAGGGAAATGGGCATTTAAAAAGACAATGAAACGCTGCCTGTCAGTTGTAGATATCTTGGCTTGTCTGCGTGTGCGCACAGGCACACATCCATGTTATGGGTTCTTTTTACCCTCAATCAGATACGGTAAAGCTCTAACAAACTTTTCCAGTAAAGTTATTGGTCCTGTGATGCAGTTTTGGTTTGTGGGCTGTCCATCAAAGCAGTTAGTCCCTAGAGGGGGTGAGAAGTTAGCAAATGCTATGCAAGAGGCAAGTAAAGCATAGCGGTGTCACTGGACATCCTTACTGTCTTATGCAAATTGATTTCCATGCACATAACATACTGATCATCTTGACAGTTGGGAGCGCCTCCTCCGCTTCATGGTATTAGTGGTCTTTATAATGTTATAATGTCTTTGCAATAAAGTGGCCTTTGCAGTTAAGTAAATAACAAATACTTAAATTTTGGTGAAAGCTTTAAATTTTTAATGCTAATTTCAGCATTTTTTTTTATTTTTGTAGCACCATAAAGTGCCCTCTGTATGTTTCTTCTGACATATCACCTTTTTTTTTCCTCATCAGGCTGATACAGTTTCACTTGAAGAAATAAAAAAATATATCAAACAAGAGGTTCTTAAGGTTTTTGAAGGTAAGAAAATGAAGTATTGTACAACTAAACATAAATCTTAAAATCAGTTCTAAATGTTTTACATCGCTACAGCCTTTATATACATTTCTTTATGTCATCTAATTTACATTGGACTTAGCAGCTGCCTTGTTGCTGTAGCTGTGTTGAACTGTTGTTTTAAGTCTACTTAATATAATTATGCTCAAACAATTACAAATTATAGTATCTGTTAACTAGAGTATTTCCTTATGTAAAAGATTAGCATTAAAAGGTAGTTTTCTCCAAATCATAATAGCAAACATATGTATGTATCATTGTAGATACATATATGTATCATGTATTATTGCAGATACATACGTATCTACAACGTATCATTAAGACACTGAAGATTTATTAAAATGGAGACAATAGAAATACCTAATTATTTTGGCCATTTAGTGGATGACTGTCTAAATGAGAGGAAGGCTTGACAGCTTTCAGTCATGCAGGTCTAAACTGCTGTGCATTTTCAGCAAACATCCCTGCTGAGCTCCAAAGCTCCCTTGCAGACCACCATCCTCTGGCACAGTTTTATACAAGTACCAGATTCAGCCAAGGCCTTTGTACTATGTAAGCTTTCTTAGGTGTGTCCTTACTCTGAAAAGGAAATATTTTTCTTCCTCAGCATTTTCTTAGTCAGGGTTGAAAAGCTGTGACTCAGGTAGGTGTCTGAAATAAGCTGCTGCTCGAACACCTCTTAACAGTAGCTTCTCTTCCATTGCAAAATGCTTTTCTTATATCTGCTATATGCTTAGCTATTTTGTCATTAATATTTGTGGATACAAAACCCTTTATCTTTTAGGGATGAAAGAAATCATATAAAGCTTGAGACTTTTTAAACTGTTCAGACAGTTTTTCACTTTATAACAAGGCTATCATTTTGTGTGTTTTCACCCTTCCCGAGACTGCTACCCCTTAGGAGTTCAACCTACTATGCATTTCAAGAGCAGTTTGTTGGCTGAAATTACCTCCTTTTCCCATTCAAATGGAATGGTAACAAGTATTTAGTCTATTCATAAGAAGAAAGTATTAAAAGGTGTCCTGCCTACAGGGACTATTGGGTTTTGTCTGTATAGCTATTCCATTTTCTACACCTCACTAGTGTTCCCACAGATCTTCTATTTTTGGCTTTGTTTCATTTTGCCTATTTTCTATCACCTTGCTTATTTTTTGTTTGATGCCCACCCTTCTCTTTAATTTTTTTCTTAAGACTCCACCACAGTAAATATCTACTAAGTTGTGGAATGCCTAGTTAAGTTTTTTAATCCACTATAAATGAGACAGATTCAAGGTTAGTACCTATTTTGTCTACCTCTAAGGAACACTGAAATGTTACCAAGTGCACTTTATTCCACCAGCATGAAGAGTTCATGCTGAAATCTCTGCAATCAATAATGTTTGCTGAGTTCTTATACGTTTTTTCACAACTCTTTTCAGGGTTTCAGCACGTTCCAAGAACTGTTCGCAGTATTTAAGCTCTACTTTGCAACTTAATATGAATTATAAATGTATAAGGTAGCCCTTCATAGGGATGTTAAGTACTAATTATTCTGTGTTCATGTATTTTAATTACTTCCATGAACAGGAGTCAGAAGTAATTTGAAATATTGGAATACATTAGTAAAAGAGAGTAGTAATGGAAAATTTAGTACAAATTTGCTCAGATTATTTCAAAGGGTAAAGACTCAGACATGAGTCTGAGTTGGAACTGAAGGCCTCCGTACTTACAGGACCATTTAATACCTTGACATTTAGAAGGATTAAACACCTTCCAGAAATTTATTTTAGCTGGGGCTTTGGGATTTATTTATTTTCCCGTATTTTGCTAGCAGATTTCTTACCCACTTTTTCTTGTGTCCTTTGTTAATGAAGAAAGGATGGCTCAGTTTGTATCCCAGCTGAAGCTGCCTGCTGCCATGCTTGCCTCGCAAGCTCATGGAAAACCAGGGCCCCCAGGAAAAGATGGGTTGCCAGGGCCCCCAGGAAAGGATGGGTTGCCAGGGCCACCAGGAGAACGTGGAATTCAAGGTAGGAATTTCAAAAAATGTTCCTATGAATTGTATCTTGAAATCTTTATACACTTGCTAATGATTATTAAATAAGCCAGGATTACCTATCTAGCTTCCTAATGATTAACTTTTAAAACTGTACTTATGTTTTTCCAGACTAGATCTAAATATTAACCCATAGTAAATGTGTGGATTTTACTGATTAAAAACTCCTAATCAGTGCATTTTATTCTAATAAGTGATAAAGTTAATTACTGACAGATATCTAAAGCCGACAGATATCTAGATTACTGTAGCAGTTATTTTTTTCTCCAAAATACTTTAACAAGGAAGAAAAACTATGCCAGCAGTCTAATGTAACTATTTAGATCCTGTTCCATATTAAGAGACCATCTTATTTAAGAAACAAAATTTGATCTCCAAGTCTGAGTGCTCTCAGCTCTTTAAGAAGCAGTGAAAACTGAAATATTGCCACATGAATTCTTCTTACAGTGAAGTAATCTGTTTTCACAAATCAGTTTCAGAGTAATCAGCTTTTCACTATACCCCAAACGGTAATTTGCACATTGCAATGCATTTGGACAGTATAGGACTCTCGTTTCACTGAACTGTCTTTCACTGCAAAATTAGCTTCAAGGGATCCAGGCTCATTGTAGCTGTGCTCTACTGTAGAGTTAGCCTCTCAGAGATTAAAAGGAAGAGGAGAACAGAATAAAAGGAAAAAAGAATTTATCAATGAGTAATATTTTGTGGGTGGGTAATATGTAATTTGCAGTTTATCTGTAGGTAGTTCTTTATTATCTTTTGTTAGTTTGGTCTGCTCTGGAGTCAGAGCAAGTCAGACTGGAATGAAGAACATGAGAGCAAAGCTGAAGATGTGTGGATCCTAAAGCTATCAGAAGAATACAGACTTACTAACATTGATAAGCGCAAACCCCTGACAGAAGCTTGAAAAATGTGATGAGCTCAGAATGAGAAGAACAAGAATAAAGGATCAAGGAAAACAATAAAAGGCTTAGAATCTTACAACACTGACTTCATCATTACCTTAATATTCAGACCACTGTAAACAGTCGACTTCAATGTCAGTGCCAGATTGTTCAATGATTATGTATGTGGTGGATAGTCTCAGATGCTTCTGGGAAGTGGAACGTTGTACTAGGCTTCATTTCCAGCTAGTGAGCATCAAGAGTAAAGATGATAGCTGTGCTTGAAAAAAAAATAAAGCTGCTTTTTCATGCCTTATGCTTAAGTAAAAGTAGTGCCCCATGTACGCAGGATTTCCACTTATTTTACTGATACTCTTTTTTGATTAGTAAAAGGTAAGCTAAGTGAGAAGCATTTACTTCTCTGATACGTCAAAAGATATATGAAATTATACTTCCAAGGAAAGAAAACCAAAAATTTGTCTTGCTTCCTTTTTACACTCTGAGTAAGAGATAGTCCCGTGAGAGAAGCACACTTACAAATACCCTTCATGCCTTTCCCAGTTGTGCCTGTGCATGTTATTGTTTTGTGCCAACAGTAAAAAGAAATTCAAATATCTGAGCAGATTGAAAAGTATCCTTCCATATTCCAGTTTATTTTCAGCCATAAAAGACATAGTGGAAAAGACTTCTTCAAGAAGCATGTTACGTGCATGTGTGGCTGAGACCATCAAGGTAGCATGCTGTGTGCACGTATGCCCAAGGCATAATACGCATTGGAGAGGGTATTTGGTTTTGACTGCCAGATATTCCTCATTATAATTCTCACTTGGTTGTAGACCAAATTGCAAACTCCAGCGTTTTGCTGTGTATAGTAATATACATTGGGGCTGGCAGAGTGAAACAGTCACTTGTCCCATGCAACCAGCGAAAAGAAGTACATACTGTTGGAGAGCAATTAACAGGACCTCTACAAACACCTCCAGAGCGGTTTGCAGTGCTGCACGCTGAGCAGGGAGCCTGCTAGAGCCAGCCGGTGGGAAGGGCAGGAGTCACCGTGTGCCCAAGGAGGTGCTTAACTTGCAGCTCCGCAGGGGTCCCTCTGTACGCCTCAAGGGTTGTGGCAGTTCCCCCGGGAACTGGTGTGGCCTGGCCTGGCCAGATTCCACCAGAGCCTCCTTCTGCACAGCAAACCAATAGGTAGGGGTTAGTCCCAGAGGCGGAAAACATAGCTACTAACTTTTGGAAGTGCAGACATGGTCTTCAAAAAGTGTATTTAAGGAATTGCTAGACTCTTGGACATAGGCTCATTCATTTCTAATGAAGTCCGGAATTGTTACCTGCTGGCCTTCAGCCAGTTTGTTCATAGTGTACCTCAGGTACTTCCCAGTGGTTCAGGTACAAATAATTTTGATTTTATATGGTGGTCTCAGTAAAAATATAGCATGCAAACAAAAAACAACAAAGAATTGCAACATAAATGATGAAATATGCAACTGGTATTTAAACACACTTTGTGTAATACTGATTGGAAGATTTTTTTTTTAATATATATATATATACATTTCTTCATTTAAAAAAAAAACCTATGGCATATGCACCAGCAAGCTGATACTGTGAGGCAGCATTACCAGTGAAATGTACAGCATCTGCTTAAGGGGGAGCAGAGGATCTTCATTTAAAAAAAAAAACCTATGGCATATGCACCAGCAAGCTGATACTGTGAGGCAGCATTACCAGTGAAATGTACAGCATCTGCTTAAGGGGGAGCAGAGGAACTTGTTTACTCTGTATGCGTTTTAAAGGATGGTAATGTCTCGTAGAGAAACAGAAGTTTATTTCAGGACTTTACAGTCAAGCTATCGCAATGTCATCCGTTTGCAGTCAGTCAGATTGTCACGTGTTAGAGGATCTAGCTCAATTAATTCCACTGACTTAACTGGATTTTTAAAACTATAATAGAAAGTGAATTTTGGTCCATTAGACCAAATTCACCTTGGGATAACTTTGCAATCCAGAGATGCGTATTATCCTTTGTGTTAATATGACTATTGATTTTTTTTCTCAATAGAGAAAAGAAGGTTTCATCGTAGTTAAATTTCACTGTTTCTATCAAATTTACGAGTTTTTTATAGGTTCTCATAACTCATGGTAGCCTGGAGGAATCAAGCATCACAGCTCAGGGAAGAAAAATACCATGTGATGAATAGTCAAAATTTCTTATCTTTATTGCTGATTTCTGTTGTAAATTTTATATTTTTTATTATTAATTTACATGGTGGGAGCATCTAGAAACCTTGGCTGACATCAGGAACCCACTGTAGTGGATGTTGTCCAGACATGGTCGCTCTTCCAAAATACCTGCACTGGTTTCAAGCGTTACCTCCTGTAAATTGTTCTTTGCTGTGGAGGGTGAAGTTAACCTGGTTTACTTTGATTTGAAACTCAGTCACTACCCCTCAGCTGCGAGGGCTGTAACACACAGAAGGAATTCAGAATATGCACCGGAGGCTGGAAGAGAGGGCTTGCTCTTAGCACCTTTCCTGTTGCTTTGCAGCTGTTTGTTTCTAAGAATGCAGAGTATTTGCACAGTAAAACACAGTGGATACTTTGGTCTCGTTGTTCCTTGTCATGATAATGTGTTTGCCTCATATTTGTATTAAAGAACCTCAGATTTCTCTAGATACTTGACATGCTAGTTTCAGGTGCTGCATTATCCATGTGGATGGAAGAGGGTCTCCATGATATGGGTGGAATACCTTTTGGAGCTGTTTAAGTGAGAACTTCTTACCTCCAAGTTCATAGACATGAACTTGTGTCATTTCCAGGTAGAGCTGAGGGTGTTGCGGTAGCCATGCTTCTGACCGTGATGTTTGTGGAGAGCACCAAACTGAGAGCTGTATTGTAGCTATCACCACTCATCCATGAGCAGAAGAAAGCTTATCTGTTTGAACACATACTTGCTACATACTGCTACCAAGTGTTTACCATACTACCCACGTTGGGTACATGTTTACATGCCACAACTTTTGGGTTGCAGAAATCACAACAAAACTTCTGGAACCCGAGTGAAAGGCTTTGCTAAAGCAGTCGCCTTTTGAATTAAGCAGGTACCTCTTACTGGAATTGTAATTCTACCAGTAAAAATAGACAGCATCTTATATGTGCCTTTACATTAAAAACAAGAAATCAAAATCTGATGTATGTGTATGATAATATTTTCCTTTGACTGTGTATGAGTTTGTCACTTTAAGCTCAGAGAGAAGGTGATATTATCCTCTAGAAGTGTAGTGACAGTCCTACTTCTGAGCAAAATATACTTCATTAAAAATCAAATGTTTTCCTGCCAGAATTACACATTACGTTGTTCGGATTGTTTACATATAGGCCTGTTTACTAACATGCTTACACCCTGATAAATAAAGCCTTATTTTTAGAAAAGATATCTGGGAATTTTTGTATTAAACTTCAGTGTCAACAGAACTTACCTGCCACCGTGTACAAACTACACCTTCGCGTGTGTGTTCAGATACAGCCAGTAATGGGTTACACTACCCTGGATCATATATTTGCATTGGCAGGCTGCTCTTTGTTCTATTGTGGTTTGTTTTTTTTTTTCCCTTATTGTCTTGAAATCCAGTGATCTTTACAGAATCTTTCAGTCTATCTCAGTCCCTTTTCAATTGTCATGTCTCAGATACCTACAGTAATCGTTGTCATGGAGCTTGTAAATGTGATATATCATAAATGTGATTTCTCTCTTTTCCCCATAACTGAAGAAATGCAAAACAAATGATTAGTGGCAGCACTGCTTTGTACAATTACAATTAACTGGGTTTGTAGTGAGAAATGTACTGTAACTATCTATTGTAAATTAAGAAAAATAGAGATATATATAATAAATAGGAAATGTAATAGATCCTGTGGTTGTATGATTGAGCTTCTCAAACAGTAGCAACTACTATGCGTTACACAAGATTTTCAGAGCAAACCGACTTGATGTAGTTATAAATACTACTGTGGTCATTAAAGAGCAAAATCAAGATTCACAATTGAATACAAACACCTGCATATTCCCTTTGCTGAGTCTTTATAGCTTGTGTGCCTATATGCCTTGTACAATTCCGCTTAACACAACTCAGTGACCAGAATGCATGATTAATATTGTTTCTCTGTGAGCTTTTAAGCAGTTGACTTCCTTTTATTATGCTACGCATGTCACTCTGCATGCATTTTCTAATGTTTTTGCCTCACTGTAATTTCCTTGTTGGGGTGCCGAGAGAAGAGTAAGAGAATTGATGCTCTGTTTTGAAACCTAGAATGATTGCAACAGAAAATAGACTTTCTACCGAAGTGTATAATGAGCTTGTGTTTAACGGAAAGCTTGAATACTCTGTGTACCGTTCCTACTGCATTGTGTCTGTCGTAACAACCCTGAATTGGTACCCACAGCGCTTACAATAGTTTCCTTCTGGATTCTCCTGTAAAGTACCAGTGTTGCCATAGACTGTACACTGACAAGACAACCTTTGGCATCCGTCTGGCAGTGCCCATTAATCTTCATGAGACATCAGGTGGATTGATACCACTATGCTGACTGGTCATCCGTGACTCTTCTCTTTTAATTTAAACTAAGTTTCAGCTCTTCACAAGAGGAAGTTTACTGTATGGCATACGCGACACTAGAAATATACTGGTCCCTGAAGCAGAACAAATTTAATTCCAAATGTGACCAGACGTTGGCAAATTAATCTTCAATATATGTCACTTGCATGCCAATGCCTGAGGTGTTGGGGAGGGAAGAGGGTTTCCTTATAATCCCTTTTAAAGTAAGGGGTTGTGGCAGGTGTCACACTTGTTCCTTTAAAAATTACTTCATCCCCTGTCCTACATAAATTACATGGTCTAAACAGAAAAGGTCCATTTGTAGATGGATTCTTAACTTGAAATATTCAGCAGAATGTTATACCGATAGCCACGAGTCCTCTGCTCTAAAGCAGCCAGTGTTTCCACCCAATAAAACTTTTTACAAGCAGTTTAAGGAAAAAGAAACAGGGGTTGGACATGAGTTGCAGCACCTGAGAAGATGGAAGCTGTTTAGATAAATACAAAGCTACGACCTGTGAAGAAAACAGACGCAAATATTCAAAGTATAACTAGTAATCACACCTTGTTAACAATATACAGCCACTTTGGTCAAAGTAGGCCTTGCATGCTAGAACCCGAAATCTGCACAAGCTCTAAAGACGCCTCACTCCATGTGAGGGCAGCTGTGAAACGCCGGAGGGGGAGTGGGTCTGCTCTTGCATGCAGGGGAATATCTAAGCATAAAACTACCAGTTTACAGTCTAAAAAGTGCAAACCTAAAGATGACGAAGTCTCGCTCTGTTTGTGGGCTATCAGAGAAGGGCTGGTCAGACTCCAGATGGCCTTTGGGTTGGTGCTTTACATCACTTCATCGAACAGGTAATGCTGGAGCAGAACGTGCATTTGATTCTTTATTAGAGGAACTTCAGGAAGGTAACTTAACATCTCAGGGAAAGGGCTGGCTAGTGAACCTAGCGAGAGTCCTCTGGGAGAGGGTGCAACAGTTACTGCTAGAAATGCTCATATTTTCCAGAAGGAACAAACATAAGAGCTGTCTCAGAAAAAAATACCAGTCTCAGAAAAAGAAGTGAGCATGTGTTTTCCTAATTACATCTGTCTTGATAATTTCCTGTCAAAAAGATATACAGAAGATCGCTGTTTATAATAAGAGGACGCTCTTATTTTCATATCTTTATTCTGTGTAGGTTATAGAGGACAGAAAGGGGAAAGAGGCGAGCCTGGAATTGGACTGCCCGGTAACCCTGGACCACCTGGCCCCGCAGGTACAAGTCTCCAGATTTATTTTTGCTATTGTTATTTATGAACTAACAGGCCTTTCTCCTGGTCTTCACACCAGTTTTACACCCGTGCCTTTCCTCCCGAGCTTGGTCGTAGCATGAGGTCAGACCCACCTGCCTTCTCGCGAATGAGCTGGTGTGCAGCTGACTGTCAGTGATGAAACACGGGGCACTGCACGCGCTCTGGCGAGGGCTCCGCTAATTCTAGCTTTGTTTTACCAGCTGCTGGCCTGCCGGGCCCGCCGGGAACGCCAGGCTCACCTGGACCGCAGGGGCCACCTGGACCCAACGGAAGATGCAATCCGGCAGATTGCTATTACCACATATCACAGACTCGGTCACGCACCAGCGGGAAATAAAAACCCTCTCCCGTAGACACTTGGGTTCACAGTCACTTTTCACTCCTCTCAATAAGTTAATTTAATCTTTGAAGTACTTGGTGCATTTTTTTTTCCCTCGACGCTGCATAGTATATAATTTATGAGGCACAGAATTGAGCCTTTTTCTGTTATTTGCAGTGTCGTAATTATGAAATGATGACATATATTTTCCAGAGTGCATTCCATGTGTTATGTTTCTCATATTTATTTTGCTTAGAGGAGAAAATAGGCCCAAATAATTTTCATACGCTTCTTTCTTCAAACAAAACATATTTTATTATAACTTGAGAGAGTATGTATGCCTCAGTATGTAAGCTGGCTTTATTTTTCTTGCTGGTGGTGAAGTTAAGTGGAGAGAATGCAGTTCTGAAGTTTTAAAGCGTACCTGTTCATGGCGAATGCAGGACCTGAGCTAAAGCGCTGGGAACTCTGTTTAGACTAACCGTTCGTGTCCCTCGAGGAGGCCGCGGCACTCCTGCTG